ATGGGTGGATGTATGGATAGGTGGATGGACAGATGGATGAATGGGTGGATGGATGAATGGGTGGATGGATGGATGGATGGATGGATGGATGGATGGGTGGATGGATGGATGGGTGTATGGATGTATGTATGGATGTATGTATGGATGAATGGGTGGATGGATGGATGAATGGGTGGATGGATGTATGTATGGATGAATGGATGGATGGATGGATGGATGGATGGATGGGTGGATGTAATTAAGAGTCATTCTATGGCAGCAGCTCTGCCTCCCTCCTGGCTCTGGTGGTAGAACTCAGTGGAAGCAGCTTCCAGTGACCCACCAGCTTTTCTCTCTCCAGGTCGATCCTGTAGCGATCCTGCAGCTCCGTGTGGGTCTGAAGACGTTTTCTTTCTTCTTCTGCTGCGTTGGCTGCGGCCTCCTCCAGAGCCTGGCGCAAAGAAAAACAAACACTTAAATATTTAAATACACATAAAGAAAAGCTACAGTTCTGACACGCAGCTTGTGTGAAGAAACGCAATCTTAAGATGTGTTAACTGCATCACCTTAGAAAAACTGAAATCAATCTTGACGACATCATGTTTCTACAAATAACTGGAACTGAAAGACTTCCGCGGTTTAAACAAGAAGTAACAGCAGCGTTAGCACAGAGGGTTTAAAGATTTAAATTAACTTGGGTTTTCTTCTCACTGTAAGCTTTTTCATTTTGTTGCCGATTGCTGTGGTGAAGGTGGACGTCTCTACAAACTGCAACAGTTAACTCCTAAAAACCCAGTGTGTCTCTGTGTTCTTTGTGCATTCATGTAACCAACTATAGGAGACAGAGTCTGGCACCTCAATGCTACATTGTTTTGCCGTTCAGGATTGTCGTCTCACACAAAGATAAAACTGTTTTCTCGTGGACGAGACAAGTTGTGATGGGAATGATTTTTTCCCTCCCTGCATCTGTGTTTGCCACTGTACGGCAGATCTCTGCGAGGCGCCGTACACCAAACTGAAACCAGAACAAGCGATTAAAAAAGTTTGTTCGATTAATCTGAAAGTATCCACTAGATTTTATGAATTAAAAAAGGAGAAAATCAAATTCAATGGAAATTTGATGGATTTTCAGCCTGTACAGTACTCAATAATTCAGATTTTTTTTGTTGTTGTAGTAAAATAAAACTAACACATTTGAGTGCGGTACTTCACTACTTGAATACTACTACTACTTCGCGGTTCAACTTATGCAGACTCGCTCTTTCATGTTTTTTCAACGTAAGATTTTACACGACACGATTGTCAACTTTAATATTACTCACATGATTGGGACGGTATTGGATAAAAAATTAAAAAAAAAAACTTTGGACAGGCGCCGTCATTTTGTAGTTTTCTTTCAGTAAGCCTATACTGTAACACTTGTCAAAAGAACTACACTACCCAGAAGCCAACAGTGCTTCCAGTCGCTACTTTCTGCAGCAATGGAGGGAAAGTTTAACAACGCAAAGTGAGAAGTAACTATCTATCTGTTAAGTTCACAGAATTGGCAGGAAAGTCACAAATAATCCTGAAGGTTACTGAAGCTCAATTATCCACGTGCACATCAACCTGAATGGGACGGTGAGCTTCAGCGCTGCAGGCTAGTTCTGCCAAACCGGAATTAAGCCCAACCGGAACTGAGCTCTGCAGAGCTGGTGAGTAAAATTTTGCAGTACTGTACAGTACATATATATATGTTGTTAAAATGGCGTAGGTTTAAGAGGTTAGAACATTGCAAGAGTGTGGGAAGGGTTTTATAAAGCCTTCAAATATATGTAAATCACATATGTCAAACTCAAGACCCGGGGGCCAAATGTGGCCCTTGTTGACATCTTATCTGGCCCCCCAAGATGATATTTTAAGTGAAAAATACTTTTATCGCTTGATTTTTTTCAGTAATCCATGATTATGATGTCAAAAGTGCAACAGAGAACATCCAATGAGACCAATCAAACTCTTGTTGAGGAACTTGCAACCAAGAAAAGATGTTGGGTATCTAACTTGAGTTCATGTAGATTCTGAAACTGGCCCTTAGTTTGAAAAAGGTTTTTAATTTTAGCCCCCTTTTGTAAGTGAGTTTGACACCTCTGATGTAAATACAAAAATAAATATAGAGTTCCTACTTGGCAGTTTTTCACCTATCGTGGTGGTGTGTGGAACATAACCCCCGCGATTACCGAGGGACTACTGTACATTATTTAGAACTTTCTCTGCAATCTAGCACAGGAGGCTGTAAATTTGGCAAACAGTGCTGCACACGCACGCACGCACACACACACAGAAATAAACACACATCGTTAGTCCATAAATCAGTGGTTCCCAACCATAGTCCTTGAGGAACACCATCTTGTACATTTTAGTTGTTTTCCAGCTTTGACACACCTGATTTGAACGAATGGGTGATTAACGGCTTGTGCAGAATTTGAAGCAGTAATTAAATCACTGAATCAGGCGTGTTGGAGCAGGGAAACAACTATTAAAACAAGCAGGGTGGTGTTTAGCTGATGTGTTGTGTGATAGAAATAAAATTAAATCTCTCATTCGATTACTCTTAAACAACATTTTTTTTTTTTATTCTAACTTTTTCCTTGACTTTTATCCGTTGATTTGTTCCAGACCAACACGCCCCTCTGAATGGTCCAATTAGAGCAGCTAAACGTGTAATGGCCTTTCAGTATGAGTGACGTCAGCTTCATCAGCATTCAGCCAGATGCCTCCACAGACGGGACGCCGACTCTGGTTTAGGAAGATTTACAGGAAGAACGTGTTTAATTAGGCTGATGTCATCCCCCTCACTGAGTGAGGACCTCATTAGCTGCCGGGTGAGGCAGACCCATTGTCAGTGTTCGAGAGTTTCAGAGCTGACCACCAGAGTTTTGAGTGACCTAGTTTGTACAAAACAACTGAGTGGGTGTGTTCACCAGAACAGCAACCTCTGAATTTTAATTCAGAGCATTTTGGAACTATGATCTCACTTCTAAGGAATGCTGTTGGATCAGTTTGGAGATTTTTTTTAAATTTAGCAGTAGCTATGGGGAGTGTGTTACTGATTGAGGAAACAAGTCCTCTAAAAACACAAGGATGGAATAAAGGAATAAAATAATTTAACGTTGTGATACCATCAGGGAACTTCCTCTTTCAGCCTTGAGACATTAGTTTAATGATTTATTTGACACCTGAGTGAGAACACAAGCAGAGGAACCTGCTGCGTTGGTGAGGATGATGTCCTTTGTAGACGATGAATTTACAACAAGCACCATCTTTAGCTGGAATGTGTTTGATGCATTCAGCAGCTCTTTGCAGTAAGAAAAGTCAGAAACTCTCAGGCTGTTTAGTGTGATTGCTTCATTTCCACACATTGTTAGATTGCCCCTCCCCCTGGACCTGCCTTCCACCCTGACTGCTGAACTGGTCCCTCAACCTGCAGCTTGTTTCATTCTAATGTTTGTGATGTTGTTGAGATTTCTGCGGTAATGTTACACATTGTTTCACAGACACTCCTCCACCCGTTGAAGCTTTTTTTTTAGCAATGTGAAAACAAGTGGAGGAACATGAAGCTGTGGTGAACGTGGTTTTTGTGGTGCTGCCAGCTGGGTTGCTTTGCTGTGGGAGACAGATCAGTGGTAACTGACAGAGGGCTGTGTTGTGGTTGGGATAATTGAGTTTACTCAACATTTGGGGCACATCTTCTAATTGGTTCTTTGGTTGTCACACTTTGTTTTGTTGCCTGACTCAAGTTGGGACCTTCTGGCCGTCTCGGTGTGATTCCTAAAAAGGATAATTGAAGTCAACTTGCTGACATGCCTCTAAGTCGCCAAGCAATGCGGTAACAGAGACATAATAAGGATTGACACATGAAAGAGGAAGCAGGCTTCACGACTGTGCAGTGTGATGTGCACATCTTTGCAGGTTTTATGAATTATGAACAGCCTTAGGTAGTGTATAAGGAGAGGCTTGTATTTGCAGCCATATCACAGAACTGTTTTGTCAATGCACCTTTATAATCAATCAACCGGTCAGTGGAGAGTTTGCCGGCAGTGTGCTGGTTTTAAAACTCATTGCTGTCCAGTCCTTGTATCTATGACAGCATATAGTGCAACATGACTGAGGAATGTGGTCAAGAAAAGAACCAAAGAAGAAATATCAGGCCTTAGAAAAACATGAGTAGATGAATAATAAAAGTCTATAAAAAGAAAAACGGGGGGGGGGGGGGGGGACTCAACAACAACAATGACCTTTCCTGAGGGGTTCCACAAGGTTCGATTCTTGGACCCCTTCTGTTTTCACTCTGTCTGCTCCCTCTGGGGTCTATCCTGAGGAAACACGGTCTTTCATTTCACTGTTTTGCTGATGATTGTCAGATTTATCTGCCCTTAAAACCAACTAGTTCTTGCTCCATTCACCCTCTGTTAAAATGTCTGGACGACATTAAGGCATGGGTGGCTTCAATTTTTGTTAAGTTTTAATGATCAGAAGACTGAAGTCATTATGTTTAGCCCTAGCTCCACCATCACCTCTGATCCTGTAAACCTGGCCTCCCTCTAGCCATATCTTAAGCAGTCTGTTACAGATCTTGGGACGGTTTTAGACTTTGAGTTTAAGTTTGCAGAAAAGCTTCTTCCAGTTAAGGCAGATTGCTAAACTTTAGCCAGTGTTGTCCAGATCTGGTCTTGAAAAATGAGTCCATGCCTTTATCACTATCTGACTGGACTACTGTAACGCACTCTATGCTGGGGTCAGTCAGGCCTCCATTTTCCATCTCTATCTCATCCAAAATGGTGCAGCTCGGCTCTTAGCAGGAACTCGTAGTTTTGAGAACATTACGCCAGTTTTGTCTTCCCTTCACTAGCTCCCTGTGTGTACCAGAATTTATTTTAAAATTATCCTGCGAACCTTTAAGTGCAAAAATGTCCTTGTGCCCCTTTATCTCTCTGAGCTACTGGATGCTGAGATCATCCGATCAGTTGGTTTTGGTTGTTCCAAAAACAAAATTGAAGCTCAGATGTGATCAGACTTTTTCAGTTATGGGGCCCAAACTTTGGAACAACCTGCCTCCCAACATTAGGTAGGCCACTTCACTTCCTGTTTTTAAATCTCTGCTAAAAACTCATCTGTTTTCTCTGGCATTTCAGTGTGAGTTGATATAATATTTGTTTGTTCTGTTTTATTTTTTAATGCTTTTAACAATTTTTTCAGTACTCTCATTGATGTTGTTGTTAAGCACTTTGGTAATAGCTGCTGTTTTAAATGTGCTTTATAAATAAAGTTGACTTGACTTGGCCTGACACAGGAATGGAGAGGTGCATCATTCTTCAGCTCATCATCAAGTTTAGCTAACAGTTCTTTGGTGTTGTTTGAGCTAAAATCCTACTTTCTGTTGCTCAGACTTATCTTTGGTATTTTTTAAAGGTCAGAGTAAAGAAATTTGAACACATTGTATCTTTGTGACAGACTGCTGGTAAACAGCCTAAAGGTTTGAAACAAGACGGGTTTATCTTGAAGTTTAGGAGCTTTTTGTTGTCTGCAATGAATCGTTGTGTATGTACTATTGTCTTTATTAAAATTAATACACTGTCAGTTGAGGCACCTTAAAGACTTCTATTCTACTAGTGTTTTACTCCTTAATAGTTTATAGGTGTGATTTCATGAACATTTCTCTAAAAATGATCCAATACTGGACTGAGGAGGAGTGAAAAACAGCCAAAATCAAAAGAAAGTTGTTTAAAAACACTTTACATTTTACAGCAAAGTCTGAGTCTTTGGATGCAAAATAATATTTGAGCCACAGTGGATTAGTAGTATGATTTGACATAATTACACTTCTTAAAATGAACTTTATTCATGATCTTTTTACATTTAAAAAACTCGTCTAAAAGCTTTTTTTTGACAAACAACAGTACTTTACAGAACCATGTTTAAATTCTCAGCACAAACGTGCTATAGGCCATATTGAGGGACGGTTAAGAGCTAATAATTAAACATGGACACTTGGCTTTTTTCTATGGGCTCAACTCGGCCCTACTACGGTTTATCTGTCTTTCCACTGGATGGACCCATCTGCTTCCTGTTGGCCTGCACGCCATTGATTGCCCAGAGAATGACGTAAATCATTAATGTCTCTGCCACAAGAATCAAACCCAGTATTTTGAAAACCGCTGCAGCATTCTTTTTTTTAATCTACAACAATCATTAAAATTATACTACATAAACACTGTGGTACTATGAGGAGGAGCAGACATTTCTGCGCTTGTTGGCCGATGACAGGATTCAGATGGAGTCAAAATAGACTTGATTTACAGCTGCGACAGAGGGAAAGTGGCCTTGACTCAACAATGGCCAAGACAGAGGATGGTGAGTGTTTTGTAACTTTATTTTACTTAGTTGTGTTTTGGGTAGAAAATAACTTTGCCAAAGTTTTATATGGACGATCCTGCTCACATCGAGGTGGCACTCTAGAAAACCACCTAGACCAGGGCTATTCAACTAAACTGCTCAAGGGGCCACAGTTACTGAAAGCCAGTAGCTCAGGGACTGGACATCCAGCAGTTGTTGTCATTAAGTAAGTTTGTTCAGATCAGTTCAGAATTTCTCTCAACAATTTATTTTTTGCTCTCTTGAGCTGGGATATTTGTTTAATATTTGTGTGTTTGATTTGTTTTCAGTTGTGTGGTTTAAACTTGACAGACAGATGTGGCCGAACATTTCCCTCCTACCTTCCTCATATTCTCCAGTTCAAGCTGTTTGGCCTCGTTTGCCGTCTGCAGCTCCCTCATCCTCAGCTCCAGCTCCTCCTGCTCAGCCAGCTGCTTCAGCCGCAGCTCCCGGCGCTTCTGTCGGGCATCGTGGTGCGGCGCCACCCGGCCCTGACGCAGCAGGGTCACAGTGGTCTGAATAGCTAAGAAGAACCGTGGAGGAGGCACAAGAATCACTTAGTTTTATTCAAAACTGATCTATAGTCAGTCATAGACAAATGCACATAAAACAAATGTTTCTGTGCGACAGTGAGACAGAAACTAGGTTAAATTATGCTACACTCTAATATCAATTTACTTACAAATATATCATTTTGAAAAGTTTAAGCAACTCAAAACAGTGTTTATCATTGCACTAAGCTGAACATTTAGGATCAAATCTTCAAAAAATTAAAACTGCAATTCTGGGAGGAAAATAAAACAAAATAATTAGTCCATCCAGGGCTTAATTTGAGCCGGATCATGCTGGAACAGGATCAGGAACTCTTATTTTGACGGGGTGCGTTTCGGTAACTGTTTGCTTGGATCCAGTAAGTCTCAGGCTTACTAATAATAAAGTCATGAACAAATTTGACTGCCTTGAACAAATAAAACCTGGATATGTAATCTGAAAATAATTACATAAACACTAATTTTAAACATAACCGCCACTTATGAATTCCTAATATCACATCAGAGCTGCCCCTTCAAATGAAGCATTTCCGCTTCTACCCTGAAAAATTTTTTTCACTCCTAAACGTTCAGTCACGGGCAATTTAATTAAAAACACAAACATATAATTAAACAGCACAACTAAATTGCAAATCAGTTTTACAGTTTAAGTGGGTCATTAATATAATTTTGATTATTTATTAAAAATATGAGAGAAATGTTTGATGAGTAATCACGTTACGTACGTCATTTATCAAAACAACGGTGCAAATTTGTCAAAGTGTAGAAAAGATGGTACTTTCATCAATTTTTTATTTTTTTTTAAAACTCATTGTACAACTAAACTGAAAATTGAAGCACATGAAGGCAGTGGCAATGGAGATAGAACTCGACGCGGGGAGGGGGTGGTGTTTAGGATGCTTGAGAGAAGCGGCGCATGCTCTATTCACACAAGGAGAGCTGTTGGTCAGGCTACTTCTTATTGATCTCTAAAATAATTAATGAATTAAGTGTTTATAAATGTAGGTAAATGTTTAACAAGACACCCCCCTCCCTGGCTATTTGCATTCCGGCATTGTTTGGATGACAAATTAAGCACCGAGTCCGTCCCATAAATTCCAACTCTCTGATAGTTTGACATTTTTAGTGAGAAGTTGCTGAGCTGTAGAGCTCCAAAAATACTTGGTTTCCTCAGTTATTTGCCAAAATCCCATTCTCCATGTAGAAACTTTTTACATGTTGTTGCTAATTTAATCTACACTGTATGGTGCCCTGCTGCGAAAGGTCAAAGTGAAGTATTCCTGATCGAGATGAACATTGTGATGCATTTTTGTCCGGGTTTTCTCAAAGCTGCAGAAAAAGTTGAGAATGGAAAAGTGAAACCGACGAATAATGGGGGGTTAGTATTAAGGGTGCTGTCAAGGGGGTTATAGTCAAGGTTTATGGATGTTTTTTTTAACTACTATGGCTGAGAATGCTAACTGCCCATGAACCATGTGTTTGAGTTACCAGAGTTCTTTCCTCTCTCAAAGATGGCTGAATGAGGAGCTGATTTGATCCTGCATGTGCAGCTGGGTGGCCGAGGTCATCAGTGTCTGCTTGTGCCGAGAGCTGATAAGCGTATAAAAAAATTTCTCGCAAGCTGCCCGGGGCAGATTCTTGTGACTGGGCTCCATGTATGTAGAACTTCTGTACATCTGTGTGACCTGTTGTGAAAGTCTGACCTTGCAAGTAAAACCGGTTAAAAACTTTCTCGTGTCCTCGAGGGTGGCTTCTTTGAGTAAATAAGATGAATAACAGCACCTAATGCTTAAGATTTGGCGCCCTTAATAAACTTCTAAACATGGGGGAGTGGTGGCGCAAAGGTTAGAGAAGGTGGGCCTGGGATCAGAAGGTTGCTGGTTCAACTCTCAGTCCCTGACAATGTCAAAAGGTAGTTGGGAAAGGTGAAGCACACACACTTGCCTCCACCCTCATTTGTCCCACTCTGGGCCCTTGAGCAAGGCCCTTAACCCCCACCATCTACTCCCCCGGATGCCCTAGATGACAGCTCTCTGCTCCACACAGTGGTCTGTGGCTGCGTCAGGAAGGGCACCCGGCGTAAAAATAATTGCTAAGTCTTCATGTTAGTTCGCTGTGGCGACCCCTGAAGAAGAAGAGAGCAGCCAAAAAAATAAAAAATAAACAAACTTCTAAAACAACTCACCCTGGATCCACTCTTGCTTCTTCTTCCTTTCTGATGCACTGATTTCAAAACTTTTTTGAGATGACTTGATGAGGAAGAGACACTTTTTCCCCTCTTTGTCTTGTAACGGCTGCAGTGTAAAAAGTATACAGACTGTGGTCTAGTGTGGTCCACACTATTTACGGTGGTTGTTACACATATAAAAATTCAGCAGCACAATATTTAGCACTAAAATGCAACAACAGCACACTTCAACATGCTTTAAAAAAAACTTCCCTATGTTTCCAGCATTGCTTTTCTTAAAAAACAGCTGAAGAGGTTCAGTAAAAGCAGCAGTCTCTTGCCTCCACAGTACAGCTTCCATCTAACATGATGTCTCCTTTCTTCTCTGCGAGGTCCTCACCAACGTAGTAGGAGATGCAGCTGGGCTTCAGCACAAACCAGCGTTCAGTCCAGTTCTTCCTCTTATGACCTTTCTTCATCATATAGCCCTACAAGGAGAAAGGGGGATATATCAGAAAAACTGCATGCTTATTTTCCCAGCCCTGTGATAGACTGGACACGTGTCCATGTTGTAACCCTACTTCGCACCCATTGATTGATAGGAATCTGTGCCAGACCGAACTCCATAGGCGTCACAACAATTATATGTGAGGGGGACGTGTCCTCACTTTTGAAAAATATTCATTTGGACCCCTTCACATTTACCATTAGACATTAGTTCACTCAGCACTGTTTCTATTGCTTCGTGAACAAATCCCTTCCACTTGATTAATAGGAGAATACTCAAACCACTAAAAGTCTACTCCGAGGCTTCCTGGTTACAACAACTCACCAGCATACAGTCTTTCTCCTCGATCGCTTGACGGGGCGGGGAAAACACCTCTGTGACGTGCGCTAGGTTAGTGCTAATCAGTGGCAGTTGTTGACCGGGGGACTGCGGTAAAGCCTTCCCCGGATTCAGAAACCTTACTGTCACTCAAATCCAGAATCCTCGATTACAACAACATTTATATATAGGCTATATTTGCGTTGTTGTGTATGGCCCCTGTTTAAAGACGAATAACGTACCAAAAAAAATCTATATTTCACCTAGATCTTCTTACTTTAATTCCACACATTTAAAGCAAGTTTCTCACCAGGTTTGTGGAAATTCAGCTGTGGGGTTTTAAAGACATTTAAACATTAATGCACTTTAATTGCGTAAGGTTCAAGAATCTGCAGATGGCTTTACCGCAGGGTGGGGGGTACATAGGATGCGTGAGAGAAGCGGAGTGTGCTCTATTCAACCGTGGCTGAATCTGCTGAGCGCAAATTCCAATAGCCAACCTAAAACCAACTTCACCGCGGTCTCAATTCACACAAGGAGAGCTGTTGGTCAGGCTACTTCTTGTGCCGTGCACTCTAAAATAATTATTGAATCAAGTTCTTACTTACTGTATGTAGGTAATCATATGTTTAACAACAAGTTAAAATACACCAGAATGCAGGAAATGGCATCTAATTTATTTTTAAAAATTCTGGGGGAGGACCCCCAGACAAACCACCACCCACCAGTGTCCCCCCACCCCCACCCCCCCACACACACATTACAAATGCTTCTGATGCCAATGCTGAACCCGAAGAGGATGGAGCAAGTGCAGAAAGAATGCAATGGATTTATTTCACGTTTTTCTATCTTTTGATTGAAAAGAGGAAGTCAAGCTACTGCAGCTAGAACTGAGATTGAAACACAAAAAAGAAGTCTGACATTCATCAAAAAGAGCATTGGATGAGTCACAACAACACACCTAATTAACACATCTGATGAATTATGTGTTGATTTTTTAAATTTGTAAACAGGCAGAGACTGACGTTAGTTTTAAACTCTGCCCACAATGAAGTACTCACTCGATCTTAATACTCTATATCTGAGGTTTCACACTTCCTCTCCAAGTAACGCATCACTTACTTTTCAGATTTGTGATCAACTCTGGCTTGACTAATTCTGAATATCAGAGTTTAGGGAAGTAAATATATACATCTTTAAACGAGGAAGTGTAAAATATCTCCACTGTGACAAACTTCTCACAGCTGTTTGTTGTTATAGCAGCAATTTGATTTTTTAGAGCTGAGGTTCACAAACCTTTTAGCTTTCAACATGCTATATAAGAGGGAAGCTACTTGAGACCACAATTATTGCTGATGATTAAGAATCCCAGCATTTCATAAAAACAAAGTTACCAGTTTTTCTTGATTTTTTTCTGAGTAATTCCTGAAATTCAAGGAAATATTTCACCCACACAAAATGTTCATAACTAGAGTAGTATTCTGTAGTTAACAGTACGTGCATACAGCAATCATTCCTAATAATTCATTATATTGTATAACATATATATATATATACACACGCACACATACTGTACTAAAATGGAGGTTGGCAAGTTGCTTACCTGTACTTTTGAATTTATCCAGTTCACAAGGTTTACAAATATACATATATTGTGGCAGCCATCTTTGATTTTCATGTGGCAACTTAGTTTTCGATAGTGACCCTTCTTATGCTTGGATGCAGTTGCACACAAAAAAGGTGGTACCTCACTTTTTTCCCAGTTATCTACTGTGTAGCTTACAATATATGGATGAACATATATGGCGGCAGCCATCTTGGATTGTAAGTTGGTAACCTAGTCTTTTGATAGTGACTTTTCTGATGCCTAGGTGCAGTCACACACTAAAATGGAAGTAGGTGTCTAATTTATTTTTCAAGTTATCCATCACACAAGACAGACAGATGAACAGAGGGCAGTGCTTCCTCTACCATTATACAACTGAGCATCCCGCCTACCTAACTGAACTGCGCGCACCCCCCCACCCGTCGGCACTGACATAGTGCTAAGCTAGCGGCGCACAATACAGGCACGCTAGAAGGCTAAAGGCGGCGCTCATACTGCCTCTTCCCTCACGCTGACCCCCCCACACTCGAAAACTGTCGGTACAAACAGTGCAGCTCTGATATGTCTGTCCCTCCCGGCCAATAAAAAACAACCTCACAGACAAGATGAGCACCCAAGCATGACAAGTTATCTAGGGGAAACACTGGAGGGTATTTCCAATTTCCCTCTTCACTGGGAACAACAAAAGAGTGTGACCTTTGCCCCATGACTTTGAACTCAATAAGGAGCCATATCATCCCATCTTAAGACGAGGACATGAACATTTTTGTTTTTGTAAAAATAAAAAATAAAATATTTTAAAAAGACCTCTGCAGTTCTGAGTTTTATGTTTGAAACAATGTTTGACTGCTGTAAACGGCACCAATGTGACTGAAGAACAGTAAACCAGCGGGGTTTGTGTTGACATGGTTAAGTCTGTGCAGACGTGTCGCTCACCTGTTTTAGTACATCCAGGATGAGCTCCTGGTAGACCTCAGTGATGCCCATAGAAAGTGTCTGCTTGTCTATGCCTTTACTGAAAAGGCCTGAGCCCACCAGAGTGATGAGCTCCCAGACACTCAGACACTGCTCCTTTGAGTTCAGCTGCAGCCTGTAGTCCTCGAATCGCTCCTCCACCCAGCTTCCCCCCATCGCTTCCGTCAGCTTATGCAAGAAGTACTCGATCTGTGTGAGAAGACACAGTCTGAGTGGGGCTCCTTTAGATGAAAACACGTAAAACTACAGTGGCAAAAAAAAAAAAAAAATACAGAAACTATGATTTATTAGAACTCTGACAACAGTTAATAGAAGATTTAAATCTTACGTCTAACATAAAGTTCTCAACCAACTAGCTCATCTTATATTACAGACCTTATTTTGTGCAATACTTTCCTAACAGAGCACTTTGGTCTCAGAAAGCAGGTTTATTTGTGGTTCCTAGAGTTTCTAAAAGTAGAATGGGAGCAGAATGTTTGTCTGGATCTCGTTCTGCTCTCTGGAACCCCAGCCAGTCAAAGCAGGTGGCTTTGACTATGTTCCTCCCTCTTTTTGAAACAAGTATAGACTACAGCCATTTCCATTCTCATGGCAAATTCCATCACCATCTCTCCTTCCTGGTTTATTTTCTTGACACCAAGCCTAACCATCACTTTCTCATCCCCTCCGTTTCCTTCACCACCGTGTCCATTCAGGTCTGCTCCGATCACCAGTCTTTCCTCCCTGGGAATACTCTCTATCACTTCATCCAGATCCTTCCAAAATGTATATTTCTCCTCAGCATCCCATCCAACCTGTGGTGCATAACCACTGACAATGTTCAGCATCAGACCTTCTACTTCTACCTTCTTTCTTTCCACACCATGGTAAAACAGTTTGAACCCTGCTCCAATGCTGCGAGCCTTGCTGCCCTTCCACTTGGACTCTTGGACGCATAAAACATCTACCTTCCTTCTCAGCATCATGTCATCCAGCTCTCTACATTTGCCTGTCATTGTCCCCACATTTAGAGTTGCCACCCTCGGTCCTACATTCACGACTTTCCTCTTCTCCCTCTGTCTCTTGACTCGTTTCCCTCCTCATGGTCTTTGATTAACCGTAGCACAGTCTCTGTTGACGCCCTGTTTGTCAACAGCACCGGTGGAGGTCGTTGTTAACCCAGGCCTCGACCGATCTGGTATGGTGCTGCTTAGATGAACTTGCATATTAGTTTTGGCAAAAGTGTTTACGGCGGATGCCCTTCCTGACACAACCCTCAGCATTTACCCGGACTTGGGACCGGCACCAGAGATACACTGGCTTGTGCTCCTTGTGGAGGTTTCCTTCTGCTAAAAGGGAGTTTTTCCTTTCCACTGTCGCATTTGTGCTAGCTACATTTATATTTGCAACAAATTAAAGACTTAAGATAATCTACTGGCTTCTTTAACTTTTAGTTATAGACATTTTATAATTTATGTGAATGTTTTTGTGGCCTGAAATGGTGTTTTTGATTGATTTGACATCTGATTACACAGATGTTTACTTCAAACCAAAATGTGTGATTTTTCTGTTTTTTCCCACTATTCATCTCTTCATGAAGTATAGAAACATACAACTCCTCTGAAAACAATCTTGCTGTGACTCAACTCTGATGTTTGTTACACTCAATAAATCTTCCAGCTTTTATAAGAGAACAGGAAGTTTCCAACTTCCTGTTCTGCTCTTGAGCAACTGACGTTTCATCTGGCTAGTTGCTGAAACACCACATTTAGCACACATTAGCTACATTATCTTGGATTAGAGTAAAATTACCTCAGCTTTAGAAAACTGTAGGAGGATTAAAATAGCAAAAGATTTCTTTAAAAGCACAACTGAAGTGAGAAGTTCAAACTGATGAGCTAATCGTGGCCATTTTAAAGCATGCGCATCTGTGACTTTGTTTACAACTCAGACTTCATATTTTGTTCTTCACTGCTCAAAATAAACTGTAAATAAAACGGATTGTGTTTTGATGGGATGGGAACTTTACAGCTACAGACCAAAAATTAAATCTATACTCGCCTGCTCCTAATTCATGTTTAAGATAGACAGTTTGACATTTAATTTCATAAAGCAGCAAGTAAAAAATTAGAACTTCATTTACCTGCAAAAGTAGCTAAGTGTCATTATCGATCTTCCATCTGTAATAAATCTGTTATCATTTAATCCATCGACAGGTTAAAGTGATGACAACGACAATTTCGGGCCGCAAAGCCAACTTAACTGTTCACGTCTTCCATTTTGTCTTTCTTACCGCCTCCCTTTGTGGCACAGATGTGCATCAGAGATGGGTTGGCTTTAACCTCACCTCGCCACCTTATGTCATGGATTATGAATGTTTTTACTGTGACTGAGAGTATCTGACATAACAGCGTCTTATCTCAGCCTGAAGGCCAACTCGGCTGAGAACCTCTGGCTCTACCGTCTCCCATAACAACTTCTTGATCTTGGCCTGGAGGCTGACTCACAGCATCTCCCTGACATCCACATGTCCACATCTGTGCAGACAAAAGTAATGGGACATGAGAGACAAAGAACACCCGTTGAAATATTATGTGATGATGTTATAAAAGTCAACAGAAGGACAGGTTTGAGGTTCATTCTGTGACATTGTCCTTATGCGCCCTTGCAAGTAAAAGCCGGTTAGAAATCTGCACCTGCCGTGAGTTTATGGTTATTTTGAGTCAAGGTTAGTGAAAGAGATTTATCACTGACACAATGTGTCCTACATGAAACCTACACACACAGTTGAGTCCAATCCCAAAAAGCCCTCTGAGCTGTTCACCAAGACATCAGACTTTAGGTTGAAATCAGAGGCTGTGAAGGACATGTGGAGGTATGTTCTGTGGGTAATCGGGCTCAGAATAGAGCCTGGTTTAGGTAGTGAGGTGACCCGCTGTCAGATGGAGCTGAGAAAATAAAAGATACCCAGATGATGGGAGGTCGTGTCCCACACAGGAGCTAGGAGGAAGAGTAACAAACAGAAAGGCAGATGGTAGAAAGCCAAGACCGCAACAAAAACCTTGATTGTCATTTTACTTCCTCTAGTCGAGTCCTTTGAAGATCCGCCAGAGCAGAAGCAAGCAGAGCTGATCCAGGACCCTTACTACCCTTTAATCAGTGGCCACATACCTACTTCCTATTTACCGTATTTTTCAGACTATAAGGCGCACTTAAAATCCTTGAATTTTTTCAAAAATTGACAGTGAGCCTTATAATCCAGTGCACCTTATGTATTAATTCTGGTTGTGCTTACTGACCTCTAACCGATTTTATGTGGTACACGGCGCTCAAAAATCTGTCATAATTTAACGCACCTTATAATCCGGTGCGCCTTATGGTACGAAAAATACGGTACTCTTCTCACTGGTTCTGACCTCTGCTCTGGGTTGTTGTTTTTTTAAACAATGGCATGGCAGGTTTGGTTTGTCTCTAACATTTGTACGGCTTATTGCAGATTACAGGACAACTACTTTGCTGATTTTAGTTTTTTTTTTATTTTAAGAGAAATTAACCATATTAAACTCAAAGTAGGTTTGTTATCAAAGACAAAGTGTGTTAGATCGCTGCAAAAACAATCAGCTTTTCAGTGGAGAAAAGTCTTTTATCCTGGACACTGTCTGATATGAATCACAAATGTTTGTATGAAGAGCTCCTCTTCTCTTTTACGGTCATGACTGCTGCTGAAGTGTGAACTCACCTCCTCAGTGACCATGATCAGGGGGTATCTGTCCTCTGACAGGAAGTTGAAGATGCACCATATCTTGAAGGCGTCATCGTTGGAGATAAACAGCTGATTTTGCTGCAGGTTCTTCCTGAAGCACAGCGTCCAGCACATTTTATTCAACTCCTGACGATCAAAGTTATCAGTCACCTGCAGCAAATACAAATAGCAGTAGCTCCGGTGAGTCAAAAGGTCAGAAAACAAGGAAGAACAGTTTGTTTTTCCCAGTAAGTTGAAACATTTTGTAGGGAAGCTGACAAGCAGATAAAACCATCAGTTAAAGATCAAAGTTCATGCTCGATAATCCAGGTAAAAAAAAAAAAAAAGCCAGTAAAGTTCAATCAGCTTCTCTGGACGTTTTTTTTTTTATGTGGAAATGTTTCATCCAGAAGACTTCATCAGTCCAAGGAGCCACAACAAACTCAGTCTCTTCACATAGTTGGTCAACCAGTTTGATGGTGATAAGATGGTTCCTGGAGTCCGCCCTCTCCCACCGCCGACTCCTCTGAGGTAGCCATGGGCAAAGTGGTTCCAAACATCTAATTATTTTGGATGAAAAACGAAACGTTTCAACATAAAGACACTATCCAGAGGACCGGACTTAACTTTGTTGCATCAGTTAAAGGACATTTGCTGACGGTGGAAAACAAAACAGACTTCGGTTAGTTTTGGTTTGTTTCACAATCATGTGGAACTATAACAGCACAAAACAAGCACGTTTCTACAATTTTTACTTTTAAGTAACATAATTATCACTTCGCTTCTCATCCAAAAGACTTCTTCAGTTCTGATCGTGGGTTCAGAGCCCCAGTTTCCTTCTTTCACTCCTTTTTCAAACCACCCATTGTCCCCGTCTAAAATGAGCACATTCCTGTCTTCAGAAGAGAGTCCCATGTCCTTGAGGTGGTGATGAATAGCTGAGTCTTGACCTGAAAAGCTGCTCTACAATTATGTGACACCCTAGAAATACTTTTGTAGCTTGATTTTGTTTCTCAAACAAAACGAGCAAAAGAAGATGAGGTGACAATTCATCCCTTTTAGATGAAAAACAAAACTACTGAACCACGTAGGACTGCTATGTCGTGGATGACTGAGAATCTACGCCAACAAATTACACATTCTATGTTGTGTGTTATGATCACGGAGATCAACTTCAACAAAATGCGAGGGGAAACTGAAACTTGGGTTCAAATTCCAAAGTTAAATGAGTGGAAATCTCTTGAAAAGGTACAACTGGTGCTGTGTGGAGAAATGTTTTCTTAAAGCCGGTGAACAGTGGTGTCTCCATGGAGACTGGCAGTCCTGAGGATTAGAAGCACATCTCTTCCTGCTGGCTGTAGCTTTGTAAAATAAGTCACCAAATAAGCACCAAACTATATTCTCCAAAGTCTCTCTGGACATACAGTAGAAGACTACTTTGTAGATGATATCATCAGGCAAATATTGTCCTCATTTAAGTTCATGCTCAATAATCCAGGTAAAAAAATCCAACAAAGTTAAGTCAGGTCTTTGGACGGTTTCTTTGTGTTGAAACGTTTCACCTTTCATCCAAAAGATTTTGTCAGTCTGGGGAGCCACAACAAAGTCAGTCCCATAAGTAGCACACTCACTTTGTGTTTTAAACAACTTTGGCCATGGCTGCCTCAGAGGAGTCGATGGGGGAGATGGCGGACTCCAGAAACCATCTTATCACCATCAAACTGGTTGGCAAACTATGTGAGTGTGCTCCTTATGGGACTGAGATTGTTGTGGCTCCTCGGACTGATTACGTCTTTTGGATGAAAGATGAAATGTTTTAACAAAAAGAAACCGTCCAGAGAACCCGACTTAACTTTGTTGGATTGTCCTCGTGTATTAGTGTTAAAAGCGTAAGATGTGGCCACTCGGCTGGTTTAATGTAACGCACTTTATAAAGGAATCAGCGACTCGTATATCTCTCAGCTTCAGAGGGTACAGAATGCTGCTGCACAGCTTTTAAGTTGGACCACATTTCCCCTGTTTTAGTCTCCTTGCACTGGCTGCCTGTACATTTTAGGATTCATTTCATCCATCCATCATCTTCCGCTTGTTCCGAAGTCAGGTCACAGGTGCAGCAGCTTGAGCAGGGAGGCCCAGACATCTCTCTCCACAGCCACCTTTTCCAGCTCTTCTGGGAGGACTCCAAGGTGTTCCCAGGCCAACTGACAGACATAGACCCTCCAGCATGTCCCAGGGTCTCCTCCCAGTTGGACAAGCCCAAAGTCCAGGGAGCATCCTTACCAGATGCCTGAACCACCTCAACTGGCTCCTCTCGATGTGGAGGAGCAGTGGTTTTACGCTGAGTCTCTCCAGGATAAATTAACTTCTCATTCTATCTCTAAGGGAGAGTCCAGCTACCCTGCAGAGGAAACTCATTTCAAGCACCTTTATCTATTATCTCATTCTTTCGGTCACTACTCAGAGCGAGTTCGTGACCGCAGGTGAGAGTAGGAACATAGACCAACTGGTAAACAGAGAGCTTTGCCTTACAGCTCAGTTCCCCCTTCACCACAACGGGCCGGTACAGAATCCGCAATACTGCAGACGCTGCACCATTTCGTCTGTCAATCTCACGATCCATTCTCCCCTCACTTGTGAACAAAACCACAAGCTACTTTAACTCCTCCACTTGAGGCAGAACCTCACCCTCGGGTTCATTTTAAAATTATTTTATTTGTTTTTAAAGCTCTTAATGGACTTGCCTCGCCCTATCTGTCCAAGTTGCTACATCGCTACACAACCCCATGATCCCTCAGGTCATGTGATCAGATGCTCCTGAGTGTGCTGAAGACAAAGCACAAGCTCAGAGGAGAAGGTGCTTTTGCTGTGGCAGCTTCTAAACTATGGAATGACCTTCCCTTGAACATCAGACAAGCCTCTTCCCTGTCCATTTTTAAATCCCATCCCATCTCTTCTCCTTGGCCTTTGACACCATCTGTGATGTTGACTTTGAATTATTATAATCATTCTTTACCGTCTGATTGTATGACTGTTTTATTATGTGTACAGCACTTTGGTCCAGTGGGTGTTTAAAGTGTTCTATAAATAAAGCTGGTATGGTATGGTATGGTATGGTATGGTATGGTATGGTATGGTATGGTATGGTATGGTATGGTAAGATGTGCTGTAGGTTAGGTGATTTAAGCAGGAAGTGATGCAAAGCTTGCTTTAAAAACCAAATGTACTTCCATCTCAAATAGACAAAGTTCTTCATTTATACTGACCAATAGACCAAACCATTTCTGGGTGGTCAGGTGTGCTGCAATAATAAATATGCAATTAAAATATAAAAGCAATACACTCTTTGGACACAATTAAACTTGATATTCAGGAAGTCATGTGAGGTGTTGTTGTTAGACAGACACGTGTGGACAGGTTCCTAATTTACACCAGTGTCTTGGACCAGTCTAATGGAGCCTCTGTTTTACTAATGGGGTGGGTTTTTTTTTAAGCAGTAAAAACTTTTATCTATTATTTCATGGCCAGTTCGGTTGTTTAATCATCAAATCTACATTGGAGGAGAAGCTGGGAATTACTTAGGCAATCTGGTGTAATCCACCATTGCACTAATTTGGGCTAAACATCTGGGTGGAAATCTGTGCTGGATGTTAAAGTGAGACCACCCAAAACTTTCTGCAGCTAAGCTAAGAACTAAGCTGTAGATATTTTTAGTTATATTACCAACAAAGAGCAGTTTTACTGACAAACCTTTCTGGTATAGTACAAGTCCACTGTTTTTATTTAAATTGTTACATTGAAATGTGCATAGAGCATATTTAACATTAAACTTGATTATGTACACATCGTATCCCCTCCAGCAGACAGAGGACTTGTCTCTAAAATGTCCCCAACATCTAAACTCAATTTGTTGAGCAATCACTAAAGTTGCTGTGATTTTCCAAAAGAAAGTCTGTATAAAACGAGCGTTTCATGTTAATACTTGATGGAAGCAAACAGAGCTGGTGTTAACGTCATGCTTGGGAGTTGTAAACATTTTAATTATCTAAATTTAAGTTAACAAAGCTGAAGACCAACCTATCTGTACTTGAATACTGTGCTGAATATCGTAATTGAATTCTCAGTTTTTAGTCAAATATATATATATATATATATATAGTATATACTGTATATACATATATATACTGTATATATTGTATATTATATATATATATATACACACATATATATGTACATACAGTATATATATACATATATATGTGTGCATATACAGTATATATACTGTATATATACTGTACC